TATGGCTTCTGGGATTTGTAGTTCAGCAACATCTGGAGGGCAAAGTGTTCCCCACTCCTGAACCACTGTCTTCACAAGTACCTCTAACTTTTGACCATACAATGACCCTTCCCACTTTCATTTTGCAAATTTAACAAGAAGAAAGTCTCTGCTAGCAGACTCCGTGACCTTTCTGACGTCTGCATTTCCATTGAAAGTTCCAACAGGCTCGCTCTTGTGTGTAAAAAAAGAAGAAGAAGAAAAGCCCTACGTCACTACAAGAAGCCCTGTGGCTTAATATTAGGCAGGCCTTCTGCTTCTAAATACTCTTCATTCGTACACTGGGATACTAACAAGGATCCTTTTTTAAAAAATCTAGCAATGGATAGTGCAATTCTAGTAATGGAAGAAACCAAGTAGTTCCCTTCCTCCTGATTCTGTTGAAAATTATTAATGTTGGCATTTAAAGAACTGGACTGACAGCAGGTGTGGGAAAAACATGTCAGAATAGGTGCCTGTGTCTTCTTTCGTTCCCTTGAGTACCCTGAATCTCAGCTGGGCTACGTAATAACTAATGCAATATAGAAGTTCTGCCTTATTTGTTTTTAAAAATATAGCCCACCTATGGCTGACATATTGGCCTCAAGGCACATTGCAACATATTAAAGCTACCGCAAAAGAAGTCTCACCAGTTTCTTTCTAAAAATAATTTAAAACATAATTATTTTCAGAGTGAAAGGTTAAACGGTAAGGCCTCTATCCATTGCCCTTGCTAGGCCAACTGCTATTTGGCTTCTCTGCTCCCAGGATTATGTCATGCAGTGGCCATGGTCCTTTTTAATCCTTTGCACATCTACTCAGTTCTACTGAAGCCACGTGCACGTCGTACAGTTAAAGCACTAATGATACCACTTTAAACAGCCATGGCTTCCCCCAGTGCCAGATTTATGTATAAGCTAAACAAGCTATAGTTTAGGGCCCCACTCCTTTGGGGGGGGGGCAAAAATATACTTCTTAATTGTATTTGAGTTCAACAATTACTTTGATAAAATACGTATTTTGTTATGTGCAAATGGCTTTAGATACCTATTAGGTCCATAAATTACAGTGGTACCTCGGGTTAAGTACTTAATTCGTTCCGGAGGTCCGTTCTTAACCTGAAACTGTTCTTAACCTGAAGCACCACTTTAGCTGATGGGGCCTCCTGCTGCTGCCGTGCTGATGGAGCATGATTTCTGTTCTCATCCTGAAGCAAAGTTCTTAACCTGAGGTAATATTTCTGGGTTTGCGGAGTCTGTAACCTGAAGCGTATGTAACCCGAGGTACCACTGTACCATATAGCATATATTCAACACACACAAAAGCGACAATTTGTTGTTGGCAAAGGACAGCTGGATATATAAAGGACCCCATTACCTTCAGTAGCTTAGGGCCTCATCAAACCTAAATCCGGCCCTGGCTTCCCCCCAAAGAATTCTGGGAGCTGAAGTTTGTTAAGGGTGATGAGAGTTGTTGGGACACCCCAATTCCCTCCCAGAGATTCAATTCCCAAAGTGGTTTAGCTGTCAACCCCTCTTCACAGGAAACTCTGCAGGCTGATAGCATACACATAAGTGCTAAAAGTCAGCATTTTATTTTTCCAACTCAGATTGATGGGCCTTTAGTATAATCTTTTCCTTCCAAACTTTTTTTACAAAAAGATACGACTTGACAGATCACTTTCCCATTATAGAAAACAAACCCTCTTCCAGATTTCCAGGAAAAAACAACTTTTTATCTGCTGTTAGTATGAAAAAGTCAGGAATTAGATAGCTGTCCAAGAGTGAGAAATGTTAAAGCCAGGAATACAATGGTTGCATTAGCTACCATTTCCGATAGTAACTTCCCGAAAGCTGAAACAGACCTCTGTTGTTCGGTGCTGCTACCCTCCTGAAGCCAAAATGAGAATTTCAGCCAGATTGCATGGGGTTTTGATAAGGAGCCCCGGCTCTTGATTTCCTGCTGTAAACTGAAATGCGATGAAGCTTCAGCTATCTCTCTGTTGCTTTCCTGCTAAACCAGTATTTCAAAAGTCTTGTCTTCATGCATTGCCATTTGCTATATTCAAGTAAAGAAAAGTGCTCCGAAGCCAGTAACAATATTTTTAAGAGTCCAGTGCTATACCTATCTACCCAGAAGTAAGCTCGACAGGGTTTGTTCCCAGCTAAGTGGGTATAAGATTGCGACTGTCAACAAACAAATGTCTAGCAAGGGTGGAGAGCCTGTCATCCAACAGATGTTGCTGGAATACAAGTTCCATCAACCCTGGCCATTGGCCATGCTAACTAGGGCTGATGGGAGTCAGAGTCCAACAACAACTGGAGCACCACAGGATTCCCATTCCTGTTTTATAGCTTAGGCTGCTATCATATAGCCGCTTAACTGGGAGCAAGCCCCACTGAACGCCATTTTCTTAGCTGGTGGTCAAGAGTGCACTATGAGTTCTGGCTATGTCACAAAGGTAGCAATCACATTTTTATGGTTAGCCTTGAAGATGGAGGCAATCAGCAGTTGAATGGGTTGGGCTACCAGAACTGGGTGTATATTTGAGACAAATTTACCTACTTACATGTATGTTGTTGTTGTTTAGTCATTTAGTCGTGTCTGACTCTTCGTGACCCCATGGACCAGAGCACGCCAGGAACTTCTGTCTTCCACTGCCTCCTGCAGTTTGGTCAAACTCATGCTGGTAGCTTCGAGAACACTTTCCAACCATCTCGTCCTCTGTCGTCCCCTTCTCCTTGTGCCCTCCATCTTTCCCAACATCAGGGTCTTTTCCTGGTGACTTCTCTTCTCATGAGGTGGCCAAAGTATTGGAGCCTCAGCTTCACGATCTGTCCTTCCTGTGAGCACTCAGGGCTGATTTCCTTCAGAATGGATAGGTTTGATCTTCTTGCAGTCCATGGGACTCTCAAGAGTCTCCTCCAGCACCATAATTCAAAAGCATCAATTCTTCGGCGATCAGCCTTCTTTATGCGTGTATATATTGTGTAATTCTGCAACCTCAATTAAATGTTATTTTGTCATTGTTGCTTTCCTCTGCTTTTTAAAAAGTTTTTGATGTCTTTCTCTCTCCCCCCCCCCATTTACTTTAACTCACTGTAATACTCGTGTGTGTGTGTGTGTGTGTGTGTGAGAGAGAGAGAGAGAGAGAGAGAGAGAGTTTTCACAGTGGCCAGCTAGATGCTGATGAGCAGCCTGCAAGTAAAGGTAAAAGGTAAAGGACCCCTGAATGGTTAAGTCCAGTCAAAGGTGACTATAGAGTTGTGGTGTTCATCTCGCTTTCAGGCCAAGGGAGTCGGTGTTTGTCCAGAAGCAGCTTTCTGGGTCATGTGGCCAGCATTACTAAACCACTTCCGGTGCAACAGGACACCATGACGGAAACCAGAGCACACAGAAATGCCGTTTACCTTCCCGCCGCAGTGGTACCTTTTTATCTACTTGCACTGACATGCTTTTGAACTGCTAGGTTGGCAAAAGCTAGAACAGAGCAACGGGAGCTCACCCTGTCGTGGGGATTTGAACCGCCGACCTTCTGATCGGCAAGCCCAAGAGGCTCCGTGGTTTAGACCACAGCACCACCTGCACCCGCAAGTAGGAGCTGAGCTCAACAGCACTCTCCCTTCCTGCCATTTTCAGCAACTGCTATTCAGAAACATACTTGTTCCAATGGCATGAAGAACTGGAGAGCTGTAATGAGCTGGGTTCTTGACACAGAAAAGGAAAGCAGGGTAATTGAGGATCAACCCAGAGGGTGATTCTCTCTCTTTCTGTGCCATTTCTTCCAAGTCCATGGCCTCATGGAGAGTCTGAACCCTGGATAATGACTCCTAGTGAATATGCTGTGGTAATCCATGAACACTGGATGGAACACTCAAAATTGAAGCCTGTCACAGATCCCTAGGACCAGTAGCATATCTTTTATCAATATTTGCTGGAAGTCTTATAAGAATAAACATTTTTTTTCTTCATGTCAAGAACTGACAGAAACTTCTGTTTCCTTGTTATCGGTCTCTGGTGAAGCTGCATAGTGCTCTTGGGTAATACTTAAGTAACAACAATGCTGTTTCCTTTTTTAATCCAAAATCTGTGAGACACCCCCCCCCTTTTTTTTAATGCAGAAAAACCGGAGTGTCAGCATGCCAGCAACCTAAGTTAGATATGTATCTCCTGCGGTTGCCATGGCAAATGTGGAACCACAATGATATCAATCTATCAGCAAAAACATTATCAGGCATTTCCTGTTAGTGGTCTTGTACCTTTCCAGTCTGTTGCTGAGCTAGATAAGAAGGCAGTTGCTTACATTTCTGGCAGGAGATCAGAGCAGTGGCAGGGTGCCGTTGTAGGCAATCATGAAATGTCACTGAGGAATCTGACAGTGGAATTTTTAGGTCAGAAAGCTAGCAGGCCCAGCAGGACACCGATGAGGTACATTAAATTACCCTACCATTCTTGTCAGTTTTATTACACACTTTCCTCGAAGCAACCGGTGGGGAACATAAGGATATTAGTGTCAATATTTTGGGTCATAAGGCAAAAAAAAAAAGGAGCAAAGTGTTAAAACAAATGCAAATGAAATGAGAGGCTGCGTACACACCAGGCATTTAAACCAGGCATAGACAAACTCGGCCCTCCAGATGTTTTGAGACTACAATTCCCATCACCCCTGACCACTGGTCCTGTTAGCTAGGGATGGTGGGAGTTGTAGTCCCAAAACAACTGGAGGGCCAAGTTTGCGTATGCCTGATTTAAACCATTTGAAAGCAAAGAATTTTGGGAACTGTAGTTTCTTGTGGGTGCTGAGGAAAACTACATCTCCCATTATTTTTTGCAGGAAGGAGGGGATATGCTTTAGCTGTATAGTGTGCATGCAGCTTCAGTACTCATTCCCCCTCTAGGAATGTTTGGAGTGCTGAGACTCTGATCAAAAGAGTGTGGAGTTTTAATACATTATTCTCCTTACAGAATCAGGTCCATTCTAGAACTGAGGTCCTTTTCCTGAACAGGGACTATATTTATGTATGGTTTTTTTGTTTTTGTTTTTACTAATACTTATTGGTGTTTATATAGTTGCCCAGAGTGGCTGGGGAGGCCCAACCAGATGGGTGGGGTATAAGTAATAAATGATTATGATTGGAGGATGGAAGCTGGTCACAGCAGGAGGGGGTGACACCCTGGCTTCTTCACCAGCCTGGCTCATCTCAGCCTCTCAGCCTCCTTCCTCTTCTGCTTCTGGATTTCTCTCTGCCACAGACTCTCCCAGCTCACTAAACCACTTCACAGCTTCTTCCCAATCTTCTCCCTCTTCTCCCTTTGACCACTCATTGTCGTCCAACCACCAATCCCTAGACTCTGAACAGCTGGTTTCCCCAGCTGTTGCCTCCCACTACTTCTCTGCATCCAGCCAGTCCATGACATCAACTTTAGTGTTTTCTTTGCGTTCCGTTTCCACAGGCTTCAGCCAAAGTCAGTCTTCAAATGGTTGGAGGAGGGGCCTTTCACTAGATAGAAGCAACAGTAATCAAACACTTCCAGATATGTGCACACAGGTGAGCAGGTGTGATTTTGCCTTGGCTAGACATTGCCCTTTGACTGTATCTTTAATGGGTTTGAAGTCATTGCCATAAACATTGACCTTAAAGCAATCCTGCATTTCACACTTTCAGCAGAGTGGAGCTGCCATTTGGAATTAGCAACACTCGATCTGTACTCCAGCCTTGGGCAGCATCATGTCTTGATTTATGAAGGTGAGCCATGACTGCTTTATATGTGAGAAGTCCAGCTCCATCTCTGAGGGCTCCAGCAGCAAATTAGAACAACAGGGTGTTACTAGCGTCCTTCTTCATAGCTCTAGGAAGGAAATTGTAAAAAAACATAAAAAACTGACAATCTCAAAGTTCACCACAAATGTCTCTCTTATTGGATGGTTTGATCAGGTCTGGAAGATGGCCCTGGCTGAAGAATTAATGGATCAAATAAGGTTGCAAAGGAGTTCAATTAAAGCAGATTTATTTGTAGAAGCCAAGCACACATTCTCAGTGGCAGAGGAACCCTCTCCACCACCCAGGGCGGGACGCCGAGGGATGGGGCGAACCGCCTGGTGATGCATGTGCAACTTCCATACAGACTGTGTACGTGCAACATCCATATGGACTGCGCACATGCGGCAGCCCGTACGGTCACTGTGTGAGCGGCAGCCCATATGGATGCTGTGTGGACGCAGTGCGACTGGCGCCCACACTGACTGCGTGCACGTCCTCCGCCACTCTGCAGCTGAGGAGAGGCAGCGGGCCATCTTTTCACACACACCCCAGGGCGGTGCCCGGGGCAACCTGCCCCCCCCGCCCCCTGCACATTCTTAGAGTATATGGTTCACTAATCCATATGGCCCTTCTGCTTCACCAGTGCGGTTTGGGAAATCTTAAGGATAGTCTAAATTTATAAGATTGGGATAACTGTAATAAATGTGAAACGTTGTGTTGTGACCCATGTGTAGTAACAGATTTTATTCTCCCATGAGGATAAAATCTGTCAAATCATGCCATGGTCAGTGGATTACCATATACTTATGCATGCTTATAGACAAACTGGGGTAATGTTTAGAGTTGTGTGTGTGTGTGTGTGTGTGTGTGTGTGTTTTGCCTTTTTTGTTGCTGTTCCTTTTTAACCGTTCATCAAAATGGGCTGTGCTATAGTATCAGGAACATATTGCATCTCACCTTGATAAGAAGCCCATTCCAAACTAACTGAAGATTCCAAACAGTCTTCAAAGGCGGTCACACATAAAGCATGCTACAAAAATCAGTCAATGAGTGATTTTTTAAAAAATGGACTGCTGCAGTCAGATTGAAAGGTTCCAGAAGATTGTTGAACCAGTCTTAATTTCACAAAGATGCTCCTGGTTACAGCTGACGCCTGAAAACACAGGTCTAAGGGTAGATCCAAGATTGTGTTTTGTTCTGTTTTTATCATGTATACTTCTTTGGCAGCTTTATCTGCATAGTAATAAGGGTGTAAACCAAGTTGTGCAGACAGGGATAGTGCTGTGGCTTGAGAGAATGTGGGTTCTATTTGACAAAGGCAACAGCTGAGAACACACTTAAGAAGCAGACAAATCAAAACAGTGGCACAGAACCACACTGGCATCAGTCTGTCGTCAGCATCATCCATCCAAGCACATTTCAATTTATTTTGCTATTACTATTACTTATAACCTGCCTTTCGGAATAGGAACATATGTGTTATAAGGAGTCAGATCACTGGGTCATCTAGCTGGGTAAGGTAAAGGTAAAGGACCCCCAGATTGTTAAGTCTAGTCGAATTCGACTATGAGGTGCGGTCCTCATCTCCGCTTTCAGGTTCAGCGAGCCAGCGTTTGTCCACAGACAGATTTTCTGGGTCATGTGGCCAGCATGACTAAGCCACTTCCGGTGCAACAGGACACCGTGACGAGTGCCAGAGCGCATGGAAATGCCATTTACCTTCCCACCTCAGCGGTACCTATTTATCTACTTGCACTGGTATGATTTTGAACTGCTAGGTTGGCAGGAGCTGGGACAGAGCGACGGGAGCTCACCCCGTTGTGCAGATTATGATCAGCACTCTCTGCACTGTCAGACAGTGGTCTTTCCTAGCTTAAGTTGGAGATGCTGGAAGTTGAACCTGCAGCTTTTGGCATGCGAAGCAGAGCAATAGCCCTTCCCCTACATACAGTGGTGCCCCGCAAGACGAATGCCTCGCAAGACGAAAAACTCGCTAGACGAAAGAGTTTTCTGTTTTTTGAGTCGTTCTGCAAGAAGAATTTCCCTATGGGCTTGCTTCGCAAGACGAAACGTCTTGCGAGTTCTTGCGAGTTTGTTTCCTTTTTCTTAAAGCCACTAAGCCGTTAATAGCCGCTAAGCCGCTAAGCCGTTAATAGCCGCTAAGCCGCTAAGCCGCTAATAGCCGCTAAGCCGCTAATAGCCGTGCTTCGCAAGATGAAAAAACCGCAAGACGAAGAGACTTGCGGAACGGATTAATTTCGTCTTGTGAGGCACCACTGTACAAATTTTTACAAGGCACCTTATGAGAAACATTAGAATTCTTTTAAAGTCACAGCAAACAATGTCAACAAATAAAGTCATCAGGATATGGCTGCTGAACTTGGAGACACCATTGTAGGGCTAGGAACTACTTCTTGTTTTCTCTCAGGTTTTGCTGGCAGGAAACGCTATGGCGGGAGCCACGCCTCAAATCTGTTTGCTTTTCAGCTCAACTTTTTTTGTTTAGAACCAGTAGAACTCTTCTCACTTTGGAACATGGCTCGGGAGCAATCTGGAAAACACTCAGACTCAGCACATATGTACATATCCGCCGGGGGCCAGGAAACAATTTCACACTTAGCGCCAAAGAGCTTCTGACATTTTGGTGTGTAATTACTATACACCACCAAAGCCTAATATACTCGATCTATAGAGAATACTGCTTATGGATCAACGACCTGAGCATTCCCAATGTGGCTTAAAGGAATGCGCCCTGCATTTATTCCTTAAAATAAAATAAAAAAGCTTCCTTTGAATGCACATAGCTATCTTTCAAAGAGCATGAAAAAGGTCAGTGGGCCTCATGGGTAACTGAATAATACAGCCACTCGCATAAACAAGAAGTGTGTAGAATGGAAGAGCAAATTTTCACTGATGACGGCAATGATATCATGCAATACTATAACAATTAGCACTTTGCAATCATATTGAAAAGTCTGTTAAAGCCAATAGAAGGCTTTTGAGTCCAAAGTAAATATTTGAACAAACTTTACAGCAGCTCCAATGAGGCACTTCGATGAAAAGCAAGCATTTGGAGGTGGAGGCATCACTGATAGCACCAGAGGAGAGGGGCACAGGATGCAAATTCCTCATAGAACAATAACTCACACCCCCAAACCCCACATTAGTTAGCCCATGTAGTTACTAGAGGAAATGAATTTTTCACATACGAATTATAAACTAACCTTAAACTTGACAGTAATACAATGCTGCAACCTTAAACATGTTCGCTCAATTCCATTAACATCTATAGGACTTCCTTCAAAGAGAATATGTTTTAAAATGGGAGTATTAGTGTTAAATGCAATATTATTTCTCCTTCAAAAATCTGACATATGGGGGAAAGCAGTTCACTGGTCTGGGATGCCAACCTACGTTGGTTCTGGGGATCTTGAGTACCCACTGTAGTTCCTTCAACAAAGTACACAGTTCAATGAGGAAAAGTTAAGTGACTCTCTCAAAACATAAGATCTCTTTTTTGCTTCTTCCGCTACATTACTTAATACTGTAGAGATTTTTTATTCTAATTTCTCTGAACAAGTTGTTTTCAACATATTTCAATTTTCTTTCTATTAGCCTCCTTCCCAAATGCTTGATTTAGAACACAAACACCTTGTGCCTTTACAAAACTCAAGGTGACATCTCCATCACTTCGCAACACTTTTGTTGCTAATGGATAACTAGTGAGCAGTCATCAATGTGCGGCTCAGGCAAGGACATGCTGCTCTTCAAGTTATAAATATACCTCTGACACAAGTAGTTGCGAAATGATTCACTTTGAAAGGAGTCATAAGCATAGAATCTGCACTGCATTACTTATGTCACAAAATCTGTTTCTAAATCTGCCGGATTCAGTTGCCACCTGATGATGGTTCTTATATTTGCTATTTTCCGTGCTTTTTGCTTGACATTTCTATTTTCTGTTTGCCGTTCTTTCTAGTAAGAAGTGGCATATCAATCACCAACCAGATACTATTCCATAAAGTTAGGTAAGGATCAGAGGGAGCTAACTGTGAACCGTAGCAATTTAATGGAACCAAAATGAAAGAATATGGTGGTTCTGAAGCAGGATACTTAATGACATTCAAATTAGACAGGAAAGTCCTCATTTGTGGGAAATGAAAATTGTAGACAGTGCCCCAAAGCTGTGGAATGCCTGTACCAAAAGAATGTAAGCCATTGCTAAGTAAGCAGTTATTTCAGCATGTTTTCGGATGCTGCTTCTGTGCATTATTTGTTGGTCTTAGCATCATTTAACATCATGTTTCTAATTATATGATACAAATATCACGATACCTTTTTTAAAACAAGGAGTAACAATAAGAGATTTGAAATAAGACAGAGATAATCCACTGATTCTTTTAAATGACAATGTCTGCAGAAGCATAGTTGCCAACAGCAAACATATATCCATTTTAGCCAACATTTATGCAAACATTTTAAACATGGCATCTATTCTCTTGATATGATTGGCTTACCTTGAAGATTTTAGATGGTGTGGACCATTCCATTATTGCAAAACCAAAGCAACATGTTGCCTTATGTTCACTTATGGTTTGATGGCCAACTGATTTTCAGAGGGTCAGGACCAAACCCATTCCATAATCAGAGTGTTATGCAAAATATGTATCACCAATGAAACTCATTTATTGTCTTATGGGTGAGTTTAGCACCATGTCGAGACCATAAATGTATTTCATCCACTGGTTATCATCAAGCAACATGCTGAAAGCTAAACTGATGGCATAAATCTGGGACAAGGTACGTGTGAACCATACAGGGACCCATATCTTTTCCCCGACGGATGGGGGGGAAACATCTGGACAATGATTTTAAGCACATACATGCAGAAAGGCAGGAATGGAAGGGTCCTTTCAGGGAACCTTGAAAGGGCTAACATAAAGTTTTCCACTTATCAACCTTTTCCCCTGTAGCTCTCCCAGGAGATTCAGACAATGAACCTGGGATATTTTGCATGCAAAGAATGCGCTCTGCCATGGAGCTATGATCCCTCCCCAGTGGGCCAACGGGGCTGGGATTGAAACCCACATGCATAATAGATTAGCAAGACATTGACATCACCTTTCAGGCACATACTGAGGGTGGGGTGCTCCCACATCCGTCCCCTTTGTCAGTTTCACTTCCCTGCTTTTGACAGCTCAAGTGTGATGGCCTGGGATTCCGATTCAGAGGCTGAACCGGAGGAATCCCAGCCTGCACAGGAGTCCCCGCCTCCAGGGCCGGCTGAACTGGGGCAGGGCCTTGATTCTGAAGCGCCTGCACCTGTGCTGGATCCTCAGGAGCAGGCCCCAGGTGAATCCACTCTGGCTCCGGAGGTGGTTGAGGACTCAGTGCCTACAGGTGAGTCTCCCCCTGGGTCCAGTAACCCTTCAGCCTCCCCTGAACTGCAGAGGCTCAGGGCAGAGAGGCGAAGGGAACTGGTTTCTCCCAGGAGGAGTGCTCGCCTTAAGGCCAGGAGAGGCAGGTCTCCTGGGGGCCGGGACCGCCCCTGGCCTCAGAGAAGATAAAGGCCAGTCAGCCCGGTCCCAGGTTGCGGGAGCAACGTCGTCGTTGAGTACCTGCTCCTACCCGGACCCAGACCTGACCTTCCAGTGTTCCTGTTCCCCGCCCGGCTTCCTGCTTCTGACCGTCCAGTGTTCCTGTCCCTGCCCGGCTTCCTGCTTCGGACCTCGGCTCGCTCCTTGTGAACTGGTTCCAGGCTAGTGACTCAGGACTGGACTTTGACTACGACAACGGTAACCTTCTCCCCGGGACTAGCACATCAAGTGAAATTAGCAAGTCTCGTTTTTATGTGCTCGGGCAGCACAGGAATTCTCCCCCAAAAGCCAAAGTAGTCTCCTCCACAGTAAGATATTCACCTCTTTACCCCACCAATATGGGGGGGGGGGCTGCACTGTAAGAGACTTTTGGGCTAAATCACACAAATCCAATATATGGTTGGCACAGTGGAGCACAGTTGCCCTGAGCGCAACATTTTTAGGGGTGCAAAATTCTAACATCCGGTGATGCCTCAATACAGCTGTGCACTTCTGTTGCTGAGCTCCATTGAAAATGGCTTCTCCATGCGAACCAGGAAGTGACCTCTCCAGACAACAGAATGACTCTTCTTATCTCTGTGGCTGCGATCTGACGGGTGATGTGGATGCTGTTAGGCAGTTGAATGGGCATGCGTACTCCATCTGTTTCCCACCCACCCATCTTTCGTCACGGCCCTGGACACTGGCAACCCATGATATGGCACTGGGCTAGTAGCTTGCTTTGCAGAATCCCACAGATAAACCTCCCGTTACTCTGAATATTTGTACGTCATTTGTCACTGAGCATTTAGAAGTCATCAGAAAGAGTAAGAGAGAGGGAGGGAGGGAGAGATTACTACAAGCAAGTACTTCATTGCTAGCATTTCAGGGTTGTTGTTTTTTCTACACTGCAATCAAGTCAATTCACTTTAAATAACTGTTTTCTCTGTCTGCTCCTTAAATCTTAATATGTGGGTTTCCACCCTAAAAAGAGGAACAACAAGTAAATCAAGCAATTAATCACTTCAGTCTATGAAATGGCCTGTAAATCACAAACCTTTTATAGTCATAGATTTTTGAACTTCAGCCCAAAAGCCTAAAGATTGACTTCAGTGCCATTAATCTTAAAATAGGCAGTTCACATATTTCTCTAAATATTTCAGCAGCGGACCCAGACAGAAAGAGCCAGGTGTGCTCTATTACAGAGCTACAGATATTGGAGAAATGGAGGAGATGAAGTGCCAAAGCCAACATCATGATTTTTTGAAGTAACTTGACTATTAGTGTTTATTTACTTAGAGACCACTTTATGATATCTGCTGAGGAATGAAACAAAGGCAGTGAATCTTTAGATATCTAGTATCTAACAAAATACATTCCCAGCCCTTAAATGAAGAGCTTTGCCTTGTATTGCATTTCTCTAGCTTATTAAAGGCACATAAAAACCTGTGCTTTTTCTTCATCGAAAGACTCTAAAAGTATAAACCAGAGTGGACTGTTGACATGAATTGTGGGTGCCACAGTGTGGCTGTAGAAGGGAAGAGGTGCACTGACATTTTCTCTTTTGCACCTCTAAGAAACCTCCCAGGGCCAGCTCTATCATTGGATAAGGAAACACAAAGATAGAACATGGTCCCCCCTCTCTTTCTGTCTATATCAGAGGGCATAACACAGGGAAGGGGGGTTGAAGAGAAGCAACAAGAGTGGGGTGCCCATGACGCTGTCTCAAAATTCCAGATGATTCCAGATGAGGCAACAGGTGCAAAAACTTTGGTGATCCCTGAGCATGGCATTTGCAAAGCCAGCTTACAGAAGCAACATAATTTGAAATAGTAAGCATACTCTATTCTATTCACTTTGGGGGGGGGACAACCACTAATCACTTTCATGTAAAAAATGCACAATGCAATATACACTCATTCATTAAGCAACCACAAAATCAATCACTGAAAACAGTGATAATAATAATCTTCAAATCTGAACCAGTTTTTTTGGGTAGGAGGCAATTTTATGTACATTTTAAAAAATTAAATACTGATTTTTGTGAG